TTGACCGTATAATGTGATTAGATGTTATTATTGTTGTTACATTTAATTTTTTTTTTTAAAATAAAAAATATATTTAAAATTCCTAAATAAATAATAAATAATTCACAAATAAAAGACGTACCAAAATATACATTACATCCAATCAGATAAACGCAATTTAAAAAAAAAATATTCCAACTCTTTTAATTGTAAATTTGGTCTGCAAAAAAGTGAAAGAAAAATAATTAATCATTATATGTACAGACTCACAATAATTTATTTATATCTGTGCAAATGCACAGGTCGAATACTAGTTTGGTACTAAAGAGGGAGGAGGAAGCTTAAGAAGCTATCCTGTGTGGGTATGCCACTCCGACCAAGTCGTGCTCCAGCCATGGCTTCAGCCCAGCTAGCGGGAACTCGAGGCGTTGTAATCCTCCAAGACTAGTAGACGCTAGTGCAGCCAAGTAATTCACCGAAAAGTTTGATTCTCGGTAAACATGCCTTATTTCCACAATCCATTCCCGGCTCAGCACCTCCTTAATATCTCGAATTAGGCAACTGTGGACTCCTTCCTCATCCGTCTACCCATTCACCATCTCTACCGCCCCTTTGCTATCTACATCGGCCAGGACTCGACGGTACCCCAAATCCCACGCAAGCAACAAACCTTGCAGTAACCCCCATATCTCCACGCCCATAATGGAGCTAAAGCCTATGATAAAACCACCGACGAATCTCCCATTATGGTCTCGGAGGAGGCCACCCGCACTCACCATGCCTGTGGACGTGTTAAAAGATCCGTCTGAATTGCACTTAATCCACGTTTCCCAATAAATCATGCGATCTATGCGTTGGGATCTACTGAGCCCGAGATTCTGAAAGCTCGATCGCGTTTGTTGGACAGTGCCAACATAGTTACGGACTTCATATAGTTTACCGTCAACCAATGGGACGGTACCATTAAAGATGAAGTTATTTTGACTGTGCCAAAGACGCCACAGGCTGACACCAAAAGTACAATCTCAGCTCTCACCTGAAATATTCATCTTATTAGACAAATTTGTTTTTAACCACTTGTCCAGATCCATGCCGAAAAATACTCCCCAACACGATCGAGGCACCAACTTCTTCCAAAATTGGCGCGGCACATCGCAATCACGTAACACATGAAGAGTCGATTTCGGGTGGGATCTACATAACTCGCAAAGCAGGCTATCCGCACATGAAAATATAATGAAAAAAACGGATAAGACATCGATAGTCACTTTGAATTATAGGGTGATATAGAGGTCAACACTCAACAGGTCAACACATCATACGTTAACAAAAGTACATATTATATTA